TTTTACAATGGAGATCTCGTTCACTATATCATCACTAATAATTCTAGTTCCGTTTTTATTTTTATCGGATAATCCAATTGGAAATTCAAATATGACGTTAAAACGTGTCGGTTCCCCTAGTATTGTGAGCTATATTCTTTGATGATTAATAAAATCGAAATAATTTTTGCTGCTCAAGAAGCTGTGGATTACACAGCGAAATGCTCACCAAAAAAACAGATCTTGTTTTGGGTATTTTCTCTCTTAAATACACTCTGAGATTGGCTGGGAGGATTTCATCATGAGCTGACATCAGTTAGAGAACCTTTGGAATAACCACCTGAGAGTACTGGACAGAGGTTTCGTCAGCCTAGTTTGGGACTCCTCGGCAGTGGGCACGCACGCCATGCCATGGGGTTCCAACACAGGACATTCTGGTTATACGGTCAGCCAGCTCGTAGACTATTGAGCCACTGGGACCCAATCCAATGGCCAATCCAGGAATTCTAACTTCTGCCAATTCACAACATAGCGCGACTACTTTGTGATATCTTCTTCGATGAGTTACTGCCTTGCCTTCAACCTGATATATCCTACTGGTCACGGCTTCTCAAAAGAACCCCAGGTAACTGCCTAAATAAGGCCACGTGGCTTAATGGTCTGGGGTCGAACTCTAGTGGTCGGTGCATACTGATGAGGAGTCCCAAAAAACACCAGACTGAGGAGACAGCTGTCCAGTTCTCTCCCTAGTGGTTTTCCAATAGCCTGACTTTCTAACTGATGTCAGCTCATGATGAAATCCTCCTCCTCCAATGAATCAAAGAAAATCCCTACAATGAAATCAATCCTTGAAAACCCTCTGGAAATATTTTCAATAATTAATAATCATTCATTATGACTCAGCGGTCAGATTATTCCAGGAAATTCCTAGCATCTACAGTCTGGAGAAACACATACAGTCTAATCTCAGATCCCAAAAGAATGCCGCATATAATTTTCAAATGACAAATTTGATTTAATTATAAGTTTCACACACACACTAGATAAGATATACACCGAGTTTTAATCGTCTATAGGAATGTCCACGCTAAAATGCCCTAGCGTCGGTGGCAGAGCGCGGTTAGGACACTCGCCGATCACCATGCACATGGTTCGGAATTCGATGCCCGGCCAACGTACACCTGATATAAATCAACAATAACAACAACAAAAGGAACAGCAACATCCAGCGCCAATCACTATCAACGGGAGGGATTTGAAGGTTACTTCATTCACTTTCTTATCTAGGGAGCATTGTCTCAACTTCAAGAACGGAGGAACGGACGAGGATGTCAAATCGAGCGAGAATCGGGAAGCCAGGCGAGAAACACATTCATCAACCAACTGAAACCAATCTCAAAATCTTCATCACTCAGCCAGCATCAACAACAAAATTCGGTAGAATTTTCAATACAAACAACGTCAAGTCAGTCAGCTCTTCTATACGGATCAGAAACTTGACGGGCAGGTCACAAAGAATATTTCCAACAGCCTGTTGCAGACGTTATCTTTATCAACAACTGTCTTCGCTCTCTCTATACTGGAGATCAGATGGCTGGGCCGGAGAGAATCACCAACAAGAATCTATGGCTGGGAACAAACAAAACAAGAACCAATCGCCAACCAACAAATATGCAGGAGAAAGTGGAGATGGATTGGACACTCACTCGCTGAGGAGGCCGCTGGGTGACATCGTTCGGGCGTCAGGCCATTGCTCGAGTGGAACCAGGCCGAAAGGAAAGCGGCGAGTGGGCCATCAGTGCAAGGGTGACATGGAAGAGATCGTGTGCAGAGGAGGAGTTGAAACAGTATGGACCACTAGGAACCCAAGGGAACAATAATAATAATTATATCACATGCTGAAAATTCGATACTTGTATCAAAAAGTACGGTGTGGAATCAAGCTATAATTTTAAAAAATTAAATAATTGACCCTTTGATCATATTTACACGCCTAATCGATGTCCAGTGTTCATTCGGAATATTAGAACAGAATAAAAGGATTACTGATCACCGTTCATTTATATATATATATATATATATATATATATATATATATATATATATATATTGGTTTGTTTGCTAAGTACAACGTGAACTAACACATGTACAATACACACACTATATCTATTTCCGCTAAATAAATAAATAAATAAAAAATATAACGAATTCATAAGGTCAAAAAAAAACGCAACCGAAAACAAGTTACACGAACTGAATTACACTTTCATTGTAAAAACTTTGCACAACAACACTGTGATATACCGCAAAATATTCATTTAGACATCTAGGAAAACACAAAATGATTGAGCCAGTGACGAATATCCTCTTCGATAACTTCCCCTCTCTTCTGGCTCTACAATTATATATGCATATTTTTACGAGTTGATCACCGATTTATATCAGTTAGAGAACCATTGAAAACACTACAGGGAGTACTGGACAGCTGCTGTTTCAGCCTAGTTTGGGAATCATCGGCAGCACGCACCCACCAACCACGGGGCTCCAACCCAGGACCTCCCGGTTACAAGGCAAGCTAGCTCGTATACCATTCAGCCACTGAGACTTGATTCAAGGTTGAAAATGTAAAATATACAATATAAATATTATAACTAACTAACTAACTCAATCTTTACGTCAGTTGCTATTGAATCAACCTTGTTTCTATATTACTAGATCATTCTTCTATTACCTGATTAATTATCTAAACGTGACAAACCTCATGTACAAACACACACACAGAGAGAGAAAAAATAGTTGTATATAAATGCGATTGTACAGCTATGCGAATGAATTCGTCGTCGAAAAGAGTTTCTTCGCTGAACGTCTTCTCTTTTTCATATATGACTTAATGGGAATTTTTAAGCTACTTAAACGTGCCAAATAAATAAAATCGTGGAACATACCCATCGGGGCACCAGAGGGAAGAGGGCATAAAGTTGAGAGACACAGATACCTTCTCGGCGATTTCATTCTCAAAAGCAACTGTACAATCACCATTTATATAGGTTAGTTTACATGGATACAATTATTATTTAATTGTTTAATTCCACATAGTAACAAAGGCGATAATAAATTTCAACTTGATATGAAAGTTTGAAGATACGAATATATAGATTACAAGAGGCTTAAAGACAAGATTTCATAGGATTAGAAAGAAGTTGCAACGTATGCAAAATTAATATTTGATAACTGGAGAAATAATAATTTTAAAGGCGAATAAAAGGTGACCATTATTATTTTCAACTTCATATGAATTACCAGAGGCATAGAAGCAAAAAATCACACAGGATTAGAATATAATTGTAAAATGGTTATTCTAAACGGATCACAAGTGTGATCAGGAGGAGCATGGAAACAAACTTAAAATAACTCATTTTATAACTGAAAAAACCAAAATGGGATGAATTGAATGAAGACGAAGAGAGAAAATTACACACAGAGAGAGAGAACAAACAAAAAAATTGAAGGCTAAGGGAACATACCGAACTAGTTCCACGGTAGTTGTAAAGGCTGGACTAGTATCTTTTGAAACACATATTTCCGGCTTTTTGATGCATACGGCGAGAGCTTCCGCAGTACAAAGAAGTCGGAAACACACTGACTGCCTTTGGTAGATTTTTGTTTACTTTGTAAATGACTCTAAATGATGGATGAGTCAGTTGAGATTCTGTGACAGGTACTGACGAGGTGTTCAGTTATTGCGCTTCTGATTGAACCAGTGCCTCCTCTTTGCAGTCATAATAGATGATGTTCCCTAACACGCTTTGATAAGACCTGGATAGAATGACCGATGTACCTAGCTCCACAAGAGCAGGTGAACTGATATATGCACATTGAAGTGGTCATATGCGGAAGTCTGTCCCTTCCTGTTGCTCCGAAGTAGTGGGTGGCTAGAGAATATCACTGACTCTTAGAATATCACTCTGCCTGAAAATTGGAGATTCTCCTTTTAAGGAATATCTGCTGCTAGGTCTCCCCTGAATTCCAGATTCAAATAAAGTGTTTTCTTTTGCACTGAAGTGTATCCTTCTCTTTTTGGCCTTGGTTTCATGTTCTTTTCCACGAAGCGTGGTGGGTATGATTCATTTTTAATCAGGATGCTTTTGAGAAATAGAGGAGCTCTTCTTCTAAACAGTCATCGCTAAAGTCAATCCCGTTAGTGTACATAAATGATGAAATTATACATAAGTGGAAAGAGAAAGAGAGTATCCTTTACCGACACTACTAGTCGTTGTCATTTTAGTTATTTCTTTAAATTTTGATTACAGCTTGATTCCACACCGTATTTTCGGTACAGGTATGGAATTTTCAGCATGTGATATCGGTAGCCCAAATTTTGCAGACCGACCATATAGATATCAAGTGTGCGTCTGCAGGGGATCGAACCCCGGACCATGTGTGCATGGTCGGCGAGAGTCCTAACCACTGTGCCAAATCATGACGCTCGGGAATAGGGTATGACAGCAGCATGGTTTTTCTTTCATTTAACGACCAGCAACACAACTTTGTCAACTTTTCATGACGGGAACACAGGATAACAAAAGGTTCGACTCAGAAAATAGCACATCCAATGACAATTGCTCGTCGTGAATTGGCAGAAGTTAGAATTCATCGGCTGGTCATTGAATCGGGTCCCAGTGGCTCAATGGTCTACGAGCTAGCTCACCAGCCTTGTAACCATAAGGTCCGGGGTTCGAACCCTGTCGTGTGGGTGCGTACTGCTGAAGAGTCTCAAACTAGGTTGACGAAACAGCTGTCCAGTACTCCCAGGTTGGTTTCCCAGTGGTTCTCTAACTGATGTCAGCTCATGATGAAATCCTTCATGCAATCAAACAAAATCCCTAGAGAACCAATACTTGAAAATTGCTCGTAAGCTCTTTTGCACGGCGTCAGATGAACTAATTACCAACAAATAAAAGAGAAAAAACAGTCAGAACCACAACACGCCAACAACAATACCACAACTAGAACTTACTTACCGAACAAATGAATTATAATAGAATAGCACAAATGTTCCAATTAATACTTGACAATCGAAACGATCTACAACACCACCGTGTCCAGGGAATAAATCCCCAAAGTCTTTTATTTTAAATGCACGTTTAAAACCACTGGCGAAAAATCCACCGAATGGACCAACTACTGATGTATATATGCTGATAATTAAACAATGCTGTAAAAATGGATACCAGATGATTTGACGAATTGGTAGAAAGAACTATATGGGACAAGGCGGCGGGTGAGGGGGACGAGGGGATGAGGGTGAAAGAAAACAAACAAGAAATGAACACATCACTTTTAATGTTTAATCGATATCTTGCATAATAAAATTTACATATTAAATTAAATTAATTTAGTAGGTGGTGACTAGCAGCAGAAGAATCCACGGTGTGCATTTCGTCCGATCTGGGACTCATCACACTTGGATGTACCTGTATTCCCTAGTGATATAAACCCAGAAGCCATCATTTCAAACTCCAAAGCGTTATCCCTTATAGCAGTTGGACCATGATAACGCTTTGATGTGTGTGAAAAGATGGATACTGAGTCCGTATAGTCTCCAGTCATTGATTTTTAGCATCCCGACAACACCAAAATGGGCAACTGATACCACCACACATGGCTTACTCTAACCATGGACAGACACATCGGGTTTTGGTCTAACCCAACTGATATAGCTGCTGCCTTGACGAGGTGCTGGTAGGATTTGCGCATTTCACGCTCAACTAACGAGCTACACTGGCTGGAAAGAATATTTTTGCAGGTCCTACCATGCATACATCACGATCTGACTAGAAGCAGTTACCGTCATAGTGTAAATTGTCTGCTGCATGTGTTGGGGAGGGGGGGGGGTTCTCTCGGCGACATCATGACGCTGGGGAAAAGGGATGTAACAGTGATATGGGTTTTTCTTTCATATGACCAGTAATCCAGTTATGCTGCCTTTTCACGATAGGAACGCAAGATAAGAAAGGGTCGACCCAGAAGATAGCACATCCAAGCTAACCTTGTAGCACAGTTCGCAGCTGCCAGCTGTAAGATCTTAATACAAACAAAACTCCAGAAACCATTCAAACAGGCTACTTGTGACCGATCTCAATCAGCTGTCATATATGCTCAACGGACAGGCAACACTAATGTTCTTTTTGCTTCAGGTACCTTAATCGCAAGAAATTAAAGCACAAGTCAAACTTATTGCAAATCATCAGCAAAGTGCCATTAGCGGAAAGTTAGATTTTAAAGAAAGTGAGACACATATTCCCCCAATTGTGATGTATTCATATGCGATAACAATTTATATCATCATAATTACCATATGTGGCAGGACTGCTATGGTAAACACCTCAAATTGACAACATCTCAGATCATCTTCAATTTAACAAAAAAAACAACTAAGTAATACAACAGAGACAACAAGTAAACAAACTTCATGACATAGAAAACCTTAAAGCATAGTAGAACACCTGAAATCAACATGTGACATTAGAATTACAATTAGGTTGAGACGGGTGGTCTTCAGTGTAATAGAAGCCCCTTGAAAGCTGTACCCCCCCCCAAACACACACACACACACACTTAAGGACAAACTCTACAGGATACCAACTCAGCCGATTGATCAGATAATCAAAATCGTTCTTGATGATGGCGCCGATGCATCCACTCCTTCTGACGTATGATTTCCAATTAAACTATATTGTTCTTCGTTATTACCATTTCTTTTGTCTCACACCTCTGTTCACTGTCTCTATTATGCATTTCTTCTACTTTCTGTTGTTGATATGTGTGCTACAAGGAGAGAGTGTGGCAACTTGAACTGGTGCACATCGGTGCAAATTTCTATGTTGAAAACACACACAGACAGACGACAGCAATAGGGTAAGTCGAGATGTACCATTCTCTGGGATGATCTTTTCTACCCAACCACCCACCCACGTAACTCTCCAGAGTGGAGAGTCACCATTGCTGGCATGCTGGCCTTCATCGGAGGGAAACACCACCACCACCCCACCACCTTACTGACGTTACATTCCTGTTCCTTAGGAAGTACGACTTTGCCCACCGAACCCCAAGCATAATGTAAAAAAAATCTTACACTTTGCCGGTGATAACCACTTTTCGTCTAATCGCTATCTTAGCAATCTTCCTGGCATATTAGGACCTGCAAAAACATTAGTTCCATCCAGTGTAAGTTATTGGGTCATTGTGATATGCAAGTCCGACCACCACCACCACCACGTCAAGGTAGCAGCTATCGGACAGGCGAGTGTGGTAACCCGAACGGCTGCATATCTGTGTGCAAAGTTCATATCTTGAAATCAGTCAGTTAATCAGGTAACTTCAAATGCTCCACTTTTATGCAAAGTTCCACACTGAAACTTCATTTGGGCATTATTTTATTTTTATTCTTTTACGTTCCCAGTGGAACATAAGGCACCTTCAAGCTAGAGGCCTGAAATGTCTGTAGCAGTGATGTTTGTTTTCATGAGATGGAGTTGCTGCTCAACTTTCCATCTTCACCAGTCTGTTTACTAGCTAAGCGAAGTTAAGAAGTGCGTCAGCGGCTGGGGATCGAACCCCAAGCCACATGCTTGGCTGACGAGTATTTTACCATTAAGGCGCCGACCGATGCACTTTGGGCACTGTAATAGATCACCAAAAATATCCATTCAGTCATAAAGAAAACAAAAAACAAATTCAGCGAAGAAAATTTTCTTTATCGACAAATTCATCTTCAGAGGCTGGCTGTGCAGTCGTGTTTATATTTACCAAAAATATATATAGTGGTGTATTATTGAGTAATAGTGGGTGGGGATGACATAATTGATATAATTACTCAGAAGTGGCTTTAGAAGTGAAAATTAAAAGTTGTAAATTACGTAGTACTCAACGGTATAAAGATAACAATTTGACAAAGCTAAAATTGCTATTGAGTGAGAAGAAAGCCGGTAGTTGAGTGTCACTTCAACAAGTGTGGAGGGCGTGAAAATGTACAAAAGGAGCATATGAGAGTGATAATAGTGAATTAATTATTAAAGTAAAAGCAAATTAAAAGAAAAAATTAAATTTTTTTTACAGGGAATGATTAGTGAAGAGGTTAAGACCAAGGTTGAATAAGAGACTGGACAAAAGTTTTCTGTATACAGAGTTCGGGGTTGTATGGACGAATTGCCAGCACCTCCGTCATACACAAAAGCAGAAACTTGACGTCCTTTGTACCATTTGGCCTCAACTTGTAGATGATCGTGAAAGACGACTCTGGTGGAGCTACGTGGCTCGAGTTCACCGAATCCTCGAGAATTCACCTAGTAATTGTCTTGCATTGTCCCTTTGCTAAACATGCCGGATAGTGTTCAGAGATGACTTTAGAAAGTGTGCGCTTTGTGAGGTAAATATAACTAGCTCCACATATGCAGGTGAATTTACTAAACACACATTCAGGTGGCCAGTCCAAAGCGGCAGTTTGTCCTTCACACATCTATTGATCATTTGTCGACTGTAGAAATCGATACGTAGCTCAGCCATAAAGAAGGCTTTCCTCAGTGATCTGCATAAGCAGTGATTCTTCAGGATCTCAGCTGCGGTATCACCTTTAAATTCAACACTCATAAATAAACGTTTCCTCGGTAAAGTCTGGGTTCTTTCAGGCTATTCCTTAATTTCATGTTTTTCCCGATTAATCTTGGAGGATATCCATTCTCGAAGAGGACTTGTCTGAGTCGCCTCAGTTCCCCCTCGATTGTATCACTGGAACCTTGTCAAACTTATATCTTTGTGCCGTTGACTACCACATAATTCACAACTTTTAACTTTCACTTCTAAAGCCACTTCTGAGTAATTATATCAATTTTGTCACCCCCACCCACTATTACTCAATAATACACCACTATATAAATTGTTTGGTAAATATAAATACGACTGTACAGCCAGCCTCTGAAGATGAATTCGTCGATAAAGAAAATTTTCTTCGCTGAATTTGTCTTTTATACACTTTGATAGAATAGAATATATATGATTCCATAATAAAATGATTCTATTTAATGTCATACACTACATTGTAAGCTCTATGGTGTTAATGATTTACTGAAGATGATCACGTTTCGAACACAGTTAAGTGTTTATAACCATATGATGTAAGTGCTTACACACATTATGTACTTATGTTATTTCATGTCGTCAAATAATAATTCTTAATATTCTATAGTTTTGGTTTGTAAGGATTAGTTATGTTTTACGAGTTGATCACGGATTGATATCAGTTAGAGAACCATTGAAAACCAGGGAGTACTGGACAATGGTTGGGGTCACGCTAAATCACGAATTCGTAGAAGTTAGAATTCACGAGCCATTGAATCGGGTCCCAGTGGCTGAATGGTATACGAGCTTGCCTTGTAACCGGAAGGTCCTGGGTTCGAATCCCAGTGGGTGCGTACTGGCGATGATTCCCAAACTAGGATGAAACAGTAGCTGTCCAGTACTCCCTGGTTTTCAATTCATAATATTTCTGGTACTGGATTTGTATAATTCCTATTGCATATGTGTTGGGTGAGTGACTGGTCTATTTTATTTTATTTATTTATTTAAACACAGAAGAAACCTGGTACAATATGGCACCAAGAAAGATGCGCCACACAATAATAATAAAACAACATAGATCAAAAGAAAACAAAGTAAGAAGAGAAACATATATATATAAATATAAGTAGAGAAAGAATAAAGAACTTTATCAGGAAGGAAAACAGTCATGCTTAACAAGTTCAAAACAGTATTCGTTAACTAACGTCGGGAAGGGAAGAAAGAAGGAAATTGCAACGCGTTCGCCACAGATGATTACGATTCTTGGCCATATCCGATAACGCTTCGAGCCATCGATTCGAGCTATCTCTCGGATCTCAACCAAGGAGTGGTGACACACCAACCGATGCTAATCTAGCACAAACATCCTTCATCCAAAGACGCCACGCGTCATGGAGTGACCACCCCTCCGCCTTTTCCATCCCGTCTCAGGGCTGGCTAGCGAACAGAGACCTGTGCGGAAGCCTCTATGATGACATTCATGGCACATGTCCAAGCAACCGAAGCCGGTGTTTCTAGATGACGACACTCAATGAATGAATGGTGATCTCCACTGTGTTCAAACAAACGCCACTGAACCTCAGAATTACTCACGCGATAATGCCACCGAACGCAAGCAATCCGGCGGAGACAGCGATGATCGAACACGCGGAGTCACCACACATCCTCAGCTCACTCGGAGAGGCCAAGTTTCACATGCGTAGAGCAAGACAGCCCACCCGACCTTTGACAGCCAGGCTAACGTCACGACGGCGCCAGAGGTGGTGGCTGAAGTTGATGTATGCCACCCTAGTCTTCAGTATACGGTTGGAAATCTCATCCATCACCCCTCGGCCAGCACTCACACAATTCGTGTGATGTGTCTAGGTCCAAGGCTTCCTACCGATTGCCTCTAACCATTTAATATCATCAACTCACACAACTACCCAGATACACAAGCTTATCAACAACTTCAAGTGGTTCGCCCGCAACAGTGAGTGCAGGTAGAGGCTCTTGACTGGTCTAAAAGTAGAACTTTGCACAGACGTGTAGCAGTTCAAGTTGCTACACTCCTTCTTTGTAGCGAAAAAAGAAAGTGAAGAGAGAGTAAAGAGCGATTCAACAAAAGGGAGACAGATAATAAACAGAAGTGTGAATGAGCAAAAGAGAATAGTAATTCGATGGAATAACAACAATATAGTACACTTTGATTGAATATGACTAGCAAATCACAGAGAGTGAATGTATCTGCGCCAGCCATTGACAACGACAATTTTGAGGCATATCACTAATTGTCTCTAGTCTTCATTGCTTCTCACCATCACGAGTCCTGCAACCAGTCAGTCAGTCAGTCAATGAGGAAGTCTACACCTCCCTACTTGGGTGAGTGGCTATCCGTCTGGCTGACTTGAACTAACTGTCATGGATCTGATTGACTGATGAAGCCATGTTTCGGTTAGACAACTACCACTTGCTAGTTCTTTTCTAACCTGATCCATCCTATGTCAGTCAGGTAAGAATGCCCGCCCATTATGGAAGACGACTGATGGCTAGGATAGCAATGAGTAACACACGTTCTAATCATGTCAATTAATGTGAATTCATAACTTCATTGATTGATTTTCTCACTTTACCTTACTCACACTGGACGCCTAATCTGAAAATTATTCACTCAATTGTAGCACCACCTAATAAAGGAGGAAGATTCACTGACCAACCTATTTCTTCATCACCTGTCCATTGATGTTTTTTATAAATGGAGCTCTGTTCCTCACCCTGTTGTGTTATTGTTCAGTTTCTGCATCCGATGAAATAAGCTGAGTCCTGTGTTCTTCTAAATTGATAATTATTTTTGAGGGTCAATCATTGTTCACTTAGCTAAATTGCCGATATTTCTACAACTACTATTATTATTATATAATTAATACTCCCTTGGGTTCCTAGTTGAACATAGGGCTTCAACTGCACGTTTCTACTTGCCACTTCTGTCTTCCTTCTGCTGTACTTTTCACCTTCTTCCATCCATGTTAGTTAGTCCATACTGTTTCAACTCCTCCTCTGCACACGATCTTCTCCATGTCACACCCACCCTTGCACTGATGTCCCACTTACCGCTTCCCTTTCGACCTGGTTCCACACGAGCAATGACCTGACGCGCGTGCGATGTCACCCAGCGGCCCGGTCTCCTCAACCAGTACTGTCCGATCCATCTCCCCTTTCTCCTGCATATTCGTTAGCCGAGCGACTGGTTCTTGTTTTGTTTGTTCCCAGCTATAGTTTCTTGTTGGTGATTCTCTCCGGCCCGGCCATCTGATTGATCTTCACTATAGAGCTAAGACAAATGTTGTTGATAAAGGTGTGGTCTGCAACAGACTGTTGGAAATATTCTTTGTGACACGCCCGCCAAGTTTCTGATCCGTATTGAAGAGCTGACTGACTTGACGTTGTTTGTATTGAAAATCCGACCGAATTTTGTTGTTGATGCTGGCTGAGTGACGAAGATCACCAGATTGGTTTCAGTTGGTTGATAAATGTGTTTCTCGCCTGCCTTCCCGATCCTCGCTCGATTTGACATCCTCGTCCGTTCTTCCGTTCTTGTAGTTGAGACAATGCCCCCTAGATGATAAGTGAGTGAATGAAGTGACCTCTTTCCTACAACTTAATTGACCTAAATCTACTGAAGCATTGGCCTCTGTTGGAAATGACCTCTCATGGTCACTGTGAGATATTTTTGTAGATAAGGTTATTTTATTTGATTATCGGGTCAATCGGTTGAGTTGGTATCCTGTAGAGTTTGTCCTTAAGTGTGTGTGTGTGGGGGGGTACAGTTTTCAAGGGGCTTCTATTACACTGAAGACCACCCGTCTCAACCTAATTGTAATTCTAATGTCACATGTTGATCTCAAATGTTCTCCTATGCTTTAAGGTTTTCTATATCATGAAGTTTGTTTACTTGTTGTCTCTGTTATATTACTTAGTTGTTTTTTTTAAATTGAAGATGATCTAAGATGTTGTCAATTTGAGGTGTTTACCACAGCAGTCCTGCCACATATCGTAATTATGATGATATAAAATTTTATCGCATATGAATACGTCATGGTTCTTGCGAGTTCTTTTCCAACTTGATGAATCCTATGTCATTCAGCTAACAATGCCCATTTGTCGTGGAAGATATCTGATGTCTAGGATAGGAATGCGTAACACGCACGTTCTAACCATGTCTCTATCAACGTGACTTTACAACCTCATTGGTTGATTTTCCCTCTCTACCTCGCCTAATCTGAATATAACCCTATTGTAGCACGACCTCACACACAAGAGACAAAGTGCAGACACCTATGATCAGAGACAGCTAGCCAGCCTTTTCATATCTTCCACTGTCAATGACCATGCTGAGTACTACACTCGTCCCTTGGTCGATATTTATGCGGATATCATATTTACGCCAGAGATGGCATAAGGACGGGGTTACTAGACACAACACTCAATCAAGCAGTGGTGTTTAATTTTACAGGATATGGTTGCTAGCCAGTCTCATGCCCAACCTTTCCTCTTCACCAGCTTTAATACTGCCTTAGTGAGGTAGAGGAGTGCGTTGGCGGCCGGGGATCGAACCCCGGATCATATGCATGGCTGGCAAGCGTCCTAACCGCTGTGCAACCAACGCATATATATATATAATTATTTTTAAATGTTAGTTTGCAGGGATTTAATTGCTTTCAAGACTAATCACAAATTGACTTCATTTAGAGAACTTATTGAAAACCAGGGAGTACTGGTCAGCTGTTACCTGAAGTTCTCATATGATGTTATGACCAGAGGGGTCCACCATGTTGTGTATAAAGAGAAATACTCACCGATGACAGTGCCTGGAGGTCGGCATACATTTTGTGTATAAGCAGAAGTTAGAATTGGTGGTGGACCATTGAATCCTGGTCCCAGTGATTGAATGGTTTATGAGGTCGTCGTCATCGTTCCGTGAAGGCTGCGGATTCGATTCTTGGTGACGTCATGGGTACGTACTGATGAAGAGTCCCAAGATGTTCACAGTACTCCTTGATTTCAACGGTTCCCCCCCCCCCAAATGAAGCGACTTCGCAAGCAATCTTGAAATTATTGTTATTATTATTTTGAAGACCATATATATATATATATATAATGAAAAATCTAGACAGTGTGGCATGTTATTAACAAATATTGGGATTAAAGTAAGTGGAAACAGGTTAATTACATATACAGCGAAGAGACTCTTTTCAACGACGGATTTATTATCAAGCTGTACAAACGGATATATATGATTTTCAAGAAATTATATCCGGTGAGAACACCTCGAGCAGCAATCTTCGTATGTTTGGCATGCGATTCGCCCTGCAAAATGTAAGATGCTGCTACAGGACTGGACCACGTCAACCCCTAACTTAGTGATAGGGAGGGAAGTGATAGAACATGTTGACCACTTCACCTATTTGGGAAGTTGTATTAGCACCAACGGATTGATTGGCGATGAAATCTCAGCACGGATCCGAAAAGCTCGAGCTGCTTTCGCTGACTTACACCATCTCTGGCGTAGGCGTGACATCCGACTATCAACCAAGGGACGTGTGTACTGCTCTGCTCAGAAGTTCGCTCCGTCCTTCTCTATGGCTCTGAAACATGACCAATACGCGTTGAAGACATGAAAAGGTTGACTGCTTTCGATCATAGATGTCTGCGATCTCTGTCTCACGTTAGGTGGTTTAATAAGGTGTAAGTAATGTTGGCGTTAGGCGTAGAGTGTTGGGCAAAGAGGGAAAATCAATCGACGAGGCTATAAAGTTACATAGACTAAGATGGCTAGGTCACGTGGTGCGCATGCCTAACCATCGCCTCCCCCGACGGGCTTTGCTAGCTGATATAGGTGCAGGTTGGAAAAGAGCTAGTGGTGGCCAAACAAAAACATGGCCTCATCAATCCATGAAATCCTTGATAGTTAAACTGAGTCAGGTAGGTAGGAAGATGCAAACTACCGAGTTGGGACCCCCGGGACTCTAAGAATCAATGACTGGAGACAATAGATGTGACATGGCTCAAAATCGTTGTCAATGGCTAGCGCAGTTATATATTCAGTCTCTGTAATCTTTCATATTTCTTTCTACCATTACCCATTCTGTTTCGCTCTTATACCTGTTAAACTCTATTGATTCTCTTCACTCATCGTCTTGTCTACCTTTGTGTGCTATTTGGAAGGTGGCAACTGGAACTGGTGCACTTCGGTGCCAAGTTCTATGTTGAATCCAGACAGACAGACAGACATATCCAGTGAGGGAATTAGGTCAAAGGTGTGAATACATGAAATAATAATAACAGTATTATGAAATGCAATTAAAATATTTGTGATTATAATCATAGTTTAATGTCAAGTGGCAAAGCAAATTAATGTCATACATAGAATAATACATAAGGTGTATAGATTTTGCAAAGGGGTACAACATAATTATAAAGGTTATAGAAAATCAAAACTTACTAGATATTTTGGTAAATTATACGTCTGGGCTACAAACACAGGATTCCGTGTACAATTCATTGTCAACGCTCCCTTCGCATCATCCCATTCAATTGGACAAACGAAATAATCAAATTTCAGCAGGATGTATGAAAAGATCAAACTGAAGACAATTGTCGACAGACCACCGCCAATAAAACCTTCCCATGTCTTTTTTGGAGACAGCTTAATCAATGGCGTCTTTCCATAGAAAAAGCCAAACACATAGGCCATGATATCATTGCATATTACTAAACAGACAGGCAGAAGGAACCTATAAGGATATAAGACATCAGTGAAAAATTACGAATATGAGAATAAGCGTGTAATTGTCACACTGATAAGACTATCTAGCTTAACAGCGAAACGTCCGTGAATGAAGCTAAAATGTCGAAAAACCACTTTCACCATAAAATGGTATTCACAATCGATAACTGGTCGGAGAAGACATTAGGAAGATACGATTTTTATATAATAAGATTACAGCAACTTTTAGAAGTGTAACAGAATAACTGGAAAAGTTAAAACTTTCAGCACCACTAACAACCAATCAGCAAACGACCTTCAACGAACCAATCACATTAAAGAGGCACATATGATGAATGGAAAGGTATATTTATAGAAAACAAAAGCATAAAACTGTTACAGTGAGTATCTTTCCCTAACATGTGAGAGAAACATCTCCCAGTTAAGCATAGGACTGTCAACAGAAAACTTACACCACATATTCTGTACATATATTCATCTAAATGACTATAAATGAGATCCTTTTGAGATCCAATTATAGCCCTTATCCTATTTTTCAACCTCCCCAAAATCTTTCAATAGAATTTGAATGAATCCTCGTAATAGGATCGAAGAAATCACTTGAATGGTTTACTCTATAATGAATATATCCCAGAGATCACATGCAATTGTAACCTTTCCATTCGTCCGTATGTATTATTCATCCCCGTTTTACAAGTCTGGTAATAGTAGGTATTAAAGTAGTTGCTTTTCTATCTGCTATCCTTCCGATGAATACCTTTCATACAAACCAATTAATCAAATATTGTTCGCTCGCTGACGGCCACGGTTGTATTTCTTCTTCACCAATACAGTTTCATCGACGTGTACAACAATGTCTTCTCCACCAAACAAAGAAGTGATTTTCTACGAAGCAATATCTTTGCAATGCTGATACCATCCAACTGTTGAGACGAGGCTATTCTCCGTCTCAGCAGCTGAGGCTCTTACTGGCTGTTTCAAGACCCAGTAGTTGCAGATATATAAAATTTGCGTTAAGGAGAGATGTGACCTTGCAAAATAAGTTCCTACCCTCTCTCTAATGCTAACTCGCTTCAAACATATTGCACAACGATGGACATATCCATCAATCGACCTTCTAAAGCTTTTTAAAGTCATGGCACCACCACACAAACAAGTTCTCTCCTTCCGACGCAACCCTAAATCCAGGTAGTACTGGAAAACACTATCCTCTTCGCACTGCAACCGTAACTTTGTTAGGGCATGTATTTGAAATGAGTCAAGCGCTATACAACATTGAACTAACGTTCGTGAATCTCATCAAATAATTCGACGTCGTTCGCTGACTGATAGTTAGTGGTGCTTCAAGTTTAACTTAGCCGAATAACTTACCAGCAAGTGGCGTCTATGAACAGTCTAGTTTTACCACATATTGGTACTTAGAGTAATTTGGTGGGGTGGGTGGTGACTAGCAGTGGAATGCAAGAGGTATCTGAAATCCCCAGTGAGTAATGGTATCATCACTAGATCACTTGGGTCATATCTAACATGGATCTCCTGAAACCACTTTTCGCGTTCAAGCTTGCCACTAACAATGCTCACACAGTGATAATAACCGCTTTATTCTGAACAATGTTTATATAATGCACAGAATTTTGCAGTAGAGTTCATTACATGATATTTCCTCTTTGACCAGGATCTTCAAATGAAAACAGATTTGTTGGTATTAAGTGGTTGGAGGTAATCGGCCACAGGAAGCCCTCGACCTAGCTTCCGTGAAAGTTGGCACTCACCAGTCAGCAAGGCGTATCTGCAACTAACTTGAAGGAACTCAGGTCCCTTCTTCTGAGATTCAAAACCGCGTCACCCAGTGCCGCCTGCAGTCAGAGACGCTACCACTGAGTCAGCTATTCAGGCTCGTGATTGACCTCCTGTAGGACTGTATTGGATATTTTTGATTGGACACTAATCAGTAAGTAGTATAATGTGTCTAGTCCTATCTTCGCTGCACACTGTGGCTACCACCACGAAACCTACGTCCAAGGTTTCCTGTGGCCGATTGCCTACAACCATCTAATACCAACATTTCACAGTGCACCGTAATGGCGAGCCACCTAGTGGCATGGTAGCCACATTGCAAGCTTAGCTGCTAGAATGCAGTCTGCACCGAAGATAGGAATAGACGCATTACACTAGTTACTGACTAGTGTGCAATCATAAAACATATTTGATTGACAGTAGAACGTATGACGAAGTTCTGTCTTCCGTGTGTGTTAGGTGGTATAATAAGGCGAGCAATATTAAGGCTAGGCATCCGTTGAGTGCTAGGTAAGGAGGGGAGGGGAGAAATCAATCGACAAGGCTGTGAAGCTACATCGATTGAAATGGTTAGAACATGTGTCACGTATGCATAGCCATCGCCTTCCTCGAGAGATGGGCAATGTTACCTGACTGACATAGGGTCCGGTTGGAAAAGAACTTGCAAGTAGTGGGGTCAAACCAAAACATGGCCTCATCAATCAGTCAATGAAATCAAAAAAAACTTAGTTCAAAATAACCAGCCAGTCATGTAGGAAGATGTAGACTCCTTGACTGGCTGGCATTTGGGTCCTAAGGACGGTGAAAACCAATGGAAGCTGGCGACAATCGGTGATACAACTCAAAATCGTTCTCAATGTCTGGTGCAGATGTATCCACTCCTTGTCACTTATAATTTCCAATAAACCTATATTGTTCTGTGTTATAAATATTCCTTTTGTCTCATATGCCTGTCTACTACTGTCTCTATTTTTCATTTCTTCTTCTTTTTCTCTTGCTTACCTGAAGCGGAAACCAATCGATCATTGTGAGATCTCTTCTCCTTTTTCTTGTTCTTTGAGAAATACACGATGACATTTTATTGAATGCCAATTATAAAAAGTTCAGGAGTACATTTTGTAAACACAGGACACCCTACAGGAACAGCTATCTCATGTAGTTATTGGGATAAGTCGCTATCCAACGACGGTAATGCTTTTTCACCTCATGTTTGGTATAAACTTGAGAAACCACAGATAGTGAACATTTTAAGTACTCGTGATAATAGGTAATACCATTGGATGTCATTATTTACTAAATTTAAACAGACTGAACCAGAGAAATTATATTGCACTATATATGCAACATTCAGCGTCAATCACCATCAACGGGAAGGATTTGAAAGAGGTTACTTCATTCAATCGCTTATCATTTAGGGAGCATTGTCTCAACTACAAGAACGGAAGAACGGACGAGGATGTCAAATCGAGCGAGAATCGGGAAGGCAGGCGAGAAACACATTCATCAACCAACTGAAACCAATCTCAAAATCTTCGTCACTCAGCCAGCATCAACAACAAGAGATTCGGTCGGATTTTCAATACAAACAATGTCAAGTCAGTCAGTTCTTCTATACGGATCAGACAAAAACTTGGCGGGCGGGTCACAAAGAATATTTCCAACAGCCTGTTGCGGACCTACCTTTATCAACCAACAATTGTCTTCGTTGGCTCTATACTGAAGATGAATCAGATGACCGGGCCGGAAAGAATCCCCATGGAGAAACTATGGGAAGAAACAAAACAAGAACCAATCGCCAACCAAGAAATATGCAGGAGAGAATGGAGATGGATTGGACACTCACTCGCTGGGGAAGCCGCTAGGTGGCATCGCGCGCACGTCAGGTCATTGTTCGAGTGGAACCAGGCCGAAAGGGAAGCGGCGAGTGGGACGTCCAAGGGTGACATGGAGGAGATTGTGGTAAGATAAGTTGAAACAGTATGGACTAACTAACATGGATGGGATGAGGTGAAAAGTACAGCAGAAGACAGAAGTGGCAAGTGAGGACGTGCAGTTGAAGCCCTATGTTCCACTAGGAACCCAAGGGAACAATAATAATAATAATAAATATACTGATGGAGGTTTTTTTTCGATAGCCTAAGTTTTAAACAAGCCGCTAAATCAGACAACATGCAGCTCTAATCAAAACTATCAATGTCTGATGCATTTCAGACAGTCGCATTCAAAATGTCAACTGAAGCGCGTTTCACATATCTTCTTTTTCTAGCTGTCCAAGTTGTAAGTACCACCTGAGCGTATCATAGGACCCTATGGTGCTGATGTATCCAGCGGCGTAGCTGGTGTCAGTGTCAGACTAATCACTTCAGTAGGACATATATCCATTTGCGGTCTTTTTCTTGACTTGACTTGACTTCACGATTCCCCATGAGAGCTTTGTCTTCTTCGTCATATATATCTCACACATGGATGGAGACACGTTGTTCAACTTGTCGAAGAGAAAGATGAAGAAGTAGAGGATGAGGCAGAGAAGGGAAATATTCTAATGTATTATCATGAAATTTATCGAAAAAAGCGAACTTACCAGATCATTCCATTGAATATATTCTCTATACAGAAGTATGATGATGTCACAAAGATGAGTAATGTAACATGGGTCCAACCAAACTAAAAGAATAACAAAAAAGATTTTAAAAATATTTTAAAAAAAATACAAATAAAAACTACTTTATTGATAATTCACTGCCATTTGAAACGTCGATAGTTCAGAAGTAGAACCCTCGAAAATCACGTCACATGAGGAGTAGTGGCATCCAATCCACCGGTCGCCGATGAACTTTTAAACCTTGCACTTAGGGAAAGTAGTAGGCCCGATAAAGAGGGAAAGTTTGACGTGAGGCTAGTAACCCCCCCCCTCCCGTATGAAGAGACACACCACTGCTACTGAAACTTTAAAGCTCAAGCATGAAGTCCTGTATTCCACCTCGAACTCATGGGAACAATATAAATAGAAGTAATAAATTAGCGCGAAGTCAAACTTTAGACATCAAATGGGCACGATAGTTGGCAGCAGGTCAGTCGGTCAGTCGGAGTAGGGTAATGAAACCAGGTGAATGACATACTGTGTATTCACCAAGGAATGTGTCGAATGGAGCATTATGGTGGTAAACAACAAACTTGGTTGATTTTTTCAGGTCAGGAAAAGATTAGAGGTAGGGTTTGGGCTAAGTACAGGTTATATTATTGTATTATAATTGTTCCCTTAGGTTCTGAGTGTAGCATAGTGTTTCAACAGCACATGTCCATTTCATCATGTTCTCTGCAATCCCCTCTAGCTGGATCCACGGTTTAACCATTAACCTCCATCTCCTCCTCACATAATCTCCTCAATGTCGCTTTTAAAATGACACCCAACTCAACCGGTATCCTATTCGGGTCCCACTTGAGGATTTCCCTGGCACGCAATGTAACTCAGCGGTCTACTCCACAAATCTCCTATGCTCCAGTGGAATATAATAAGACTTCAATGGCACGTCTCCCCACTTTGTCCTGTTGTCTGCAGTCCTCTTCAGCTGAATTCATGATTATTCATAGGCTTTTATCTCCTCCTCACACAATCTCCTCCATGTTACCCTCCAATCAACGCTTAATTCGTCGTTTGTCGTCCGTGTGACAATCGAGCGAAGGCATGGTGCACGATGTCATTCGACAGTCTCCTCAGCGTATATCCAATCCATCCATCTCCATTTCCTTCGGTGGCACAGTGGTTAGGACTCTCGCCGACCATGCACATGGTCCGAGGTTCAAGCCCTCGTCGACGCACACCTGATATCTATGGTCGGCCTGCGAAATTTGGGCTACCGATATCCACGTTGAAAATTCCATACTTGTACCAAAAATGCAGTGTGGAATCAAGCTGTAATCAAAAATAAAAAATAAAAAAATATTTCTTGGGTGACTACTTCTTAGATGGCTGGCAGTCGCGTCTAAACTGTTGGTTACTACCTTGCTTCGCATACTGGGCTTCGTTTCACTGGAAAGAACCGTTCCATGAAACTCTCTGTTAGAGAGGGGAGTACCTGAGAAGTTTGTTAACATCCTGAAAGCCCTATACAGCAACACCTCATGCAGCGTGAGGACATACAACCAATTATCATCAATGTTCTCAACAAACATTGAGGTTAGACAGGGTTACCCAATCTCTCTGTTTCTCTTCAACTTGCCACCAACGACATTCTAGAGTCAGCGCTGAAGAACGTGAATGAAGGTGGTGAGTTTTTGACCTCAAGTATGCAGACGATCCCGTCTTACTGTGAGACAGCAAACAGGCTGCTTACATAGCAATCAATCAGTTGGCGATCAGTGTCTGTAAGTATGGTAAGTGTTTTGCGCCATCTAATTGAAAAGTACTGTTAAAAGATTGGCAGCAGTCTGTACCTGCACTCACCCTGGCAGGTGAACCGCTTGAAGTTGTCGATAAGTTTGTGTATCTGCGTAGCTGTATGAATGCTGAAGGAGGTGTGACGGATGAGACTTCCTACGGTATCACGAAAGCTAGGGTAGAATAAGCCAATTTGAGCCACCTTTAGTACCGTCACAACGTTACCCTGGCTGTCAAAGGTCGCGTATACAATGGTTCTGTGAGTGTTGTCCTGCTCTACGCCTGTGAAACCTAACCTCTGAGAGCTGAAGATGTGCAGCAACTCTGCATATTCGACCATAGCTGTCTCCGCAGAATTGCCTGCGTTCAATAGGATTATCGTGTGAGTAATTCTTGGATCCGCAAGCGTGTGTTTAGACAAGGCAGAGATCATAGACCTTTCATTGAAGGTCATCATCTGGAAACAACGTCTTGAATGTCTTGAACATATGGTATGAATGTTATCCCATAGGTTTTTTACTAACTTCTAACTTGAAGGCAGGCAGTGAAATGATTAAATATGCTTAGAAAGCAATGTTTACATGCAATTTGATCGCTAAAATTTAACTCTGGTTACCATAAGGAATGCTGAGACGATGATGTGGTTCTTTCACTATTGTTAAAATCAATCAATATCCCCACCTCCAAAATCAAACTTTCAATACAAATCAGGTTTGTCTAAACACTGTAAGACCCTGAGTATGCCACTCCTGTGATCATCCTCAAACAAACAAAAATTTTGTTTGGCATTTGCCTAAAAGACGTATCTTCCTAGACAGAGCATTACAGCCTATATCATTAGTTTGTTTTCGACTATGCGTAATAAGTCAGTGAGTATCATTCAAAGGAGGAAAGCCACACCACTACCCACCCATTTTGATGTTATTTATAGTGTCAGAATAGTTATAATACATATAACAGTTGGAGAATTGATTGGATTGATTGACTGGTTTCAAGATGGAACTTTGCACCAATGTGCACCAGTTCAAGTCGCCACACTCCCTGCACTTAGCACACAAAGCAAGAGAAGAAAGTAAAAAGAAATGCAAAATAGGCACAGTAAACAGAGATATGAGGCAAAAAGAATAGTAATAACGAAGAACATTAGTTTTATTGGGCATTATAAGTCACAAAGAATGGATGCATTTGCCAATGGTGTTTACTATCCCGTCAGGTAGTCTAGACTTTCCTACGTGGCTAGCTTAAACTAACTGTTGTGGATTTCATTGACAGATGAAGACATATTTTCGCCTGACCACCACTAGCTAGCTCTTTTCCAACCTGACTATATGTCAATTAACATTGCCCGTCACTCGAGGAAGGTGTTGGCTAGACAGACATGCGTAACACATGTCCTAACCATCTCAGTCGATGCAATTTCACAGCCTCGTCAATTGATTTCCCCTCCCAACTACCTAGCACGTGGCACCTAACCTCAATACTGCTCACCTTATTATACCACTTCACACGGGAGATAGAACGCACGCACCTATGATCAAAGACAACCAACCGGCCTTTTCATGTCTTCCACTCTCAGTGGCCATGTCTCACTCACAACTATAAAGGAGGACGTAGCGGACTGATGAGCAGTACACTCGCCCTTTGGTCGATAGTCGAATATCTCGTCTACTAAGCCAGAGACGGCGTAAACTGGCATATGGGAACCTAGCTTTTTGTGTCCGTGCAGAGATTTCATCAGTGATCAACTCATTGGCACTGGCTGATGCAACTTCCCACACAAATAATAAGTGAAGTGGTCAACACGCTCCACAAACCATTCCACTCCCCATTTTTAAGCTAGGAGTGAGTCAATGTAGTCCAGTCCACTCCACTCCACTCCACTCCAGTAGCATCATCACCTTAAATTTTGCCAGTTGGAGAAACACATTTAAGAACAATAACATAAACATTTATTATCCAATGATTAAAAATAATTTATTGATTTTACTGATACAATAACAACAATAACAGCAACCCCAAAGTGAACAAAAATTATTATTATTATTACTATTACTATTATGAGCTAACTTACCAATGTGAACTGTTTAATATAATGACGCTTCACTAAGCTTAGAACAAATCCAACAATACCAGCACAGTATAACGAGAAGGAGATGAACTGATGATGCGTGATCCACGGTTGAAGAAAATCCTGTTGAGATAAGAATGTTTTATAATATTGGGGAGAAGAAGAAGAAGAAGAGGTAACAGAATGGGGGAGGGGGGGAAGTTAAGAGAAACAGGATGTTTTTTTCATATAACACTGTAATGTTGTTTACATGTTGTTCGAAAATGCTTCTTTCTCCGAAAACGTTGTACCTGTTCCTGGAAAGACATTAAAATAGTCCCTGTCCCTAAACCTGGAAATAGCAAGAACGTAAAGTTCAGACCCATGCCATCACTTCCCCGTTTCTAAAGCTCATGGAAAAACTAGTACTTCTTAAACTCGAACCCTCCCTTAAAAGCTTCGAAGACCCCAAACAATTTGCCTACAGACAGGGTAGGAGTACTTTAGACGCTGCAGCCGTCTTACACAACAGTATTGTCTCATCATTAGACAAAGGTGCCAAATATGTCCGCTGCACGTTTCTTGACTTACTTCTGCTTTCGACTCTGTACCTAGAAGTCTCTTGCTAAATAAGCTCTCCATGACACAAACCGAGTCCTGGGTCACTAACTGGTTGCATTCCTACTTTTCAAACAGAATGCAGTACACCGTATACAAAGGCAATCCTCCTCTGCTGTGCTCACTGAAGCTGGTGTCCCCCAAGGTGCTGTACTCTCCCCACTTCTCTTTTCATTCTTCCTACATGACCTACCGTCTTCAAATGACATTAACTTTGTCAAATATGCTGATGACCTAACTGTATCTTTACCTGTCAAATGTCAAAGTGACTGCTCTAAACTAAATGGCTTCTTATCAGAAATTAGCCAATGGTCCAAGGAAAACGGTCTAACCTTAAACCCCTCCAAATGCCAAACAGTTAATTTCACCTTTAGGCATAAATCTGACCTAAACAAACTGGTTAGCACTCACGAGGTGTGCAACATAGATGGCACTGAAATAGAAACCAAGTCGGAAATTAAATACCTAGGCGTCACTCTATCTTCTGATCTTTCCTGGTCGTCTCATATCTTGACGATTTCCAAGAAAATATACCGTCTTACCTTCTACATCAAGAAGTTAAGACATTCTGGTGTAACCCAACCCTTACTCCTACAATTTGTTAACTCCCGTATTCTGCCTATTATTCTCTATTGCTCCCCCTTAGTCTTTCCTGGGCTATTGAAGAAAGACTATACCTTATTACGTAGGATGTTAAAGGTTGTCAGCAGGGTAAGCAGTTTGCCACTTAGCCAGCTTGTTAATATTCTGGTGGACAGGCACATGGACTCATGTGAAAAATGGGCGAAATCCATTTTATCTGACTCACAACACCCTCTACATTCACAACTCTCCCCATGTATCTCTTCAGGGAAAACAAGAAGCCTATATAGGAAACTATATGCCCGCACTAGTAAGTACAAAAACTCATCCATACCCTACCTAGCTCGTGTTCTGTGCGATAAAGAATGCATCAGGCATGAAACCTTTAACTTATTAAATAGTCAGTAGAACAATGGATCTCGTCTTTCCAACTCACATCATTTATAGGTACAACGTTTTCTCGCTCTTCATTCTGTATTTATTTTTGTTATGTGCTGTTTTGTTTCTCTCTTCCTTGCAAACTCTACTTAAAACATTCTTGTTCGTTCTTTCACACTCTGTATATCTCGACCATTTTGCTATCGCTTACGCCAGTAAATATGCTAGTAGTATCTACTTTTCTAACACCTTCAAACACTTTAATTTTGGCTTTGCTACCGACATACTAATATGTTGTTGAGATAACTTTAATCTATGTAGAACTTTATTTATTGTTAATGTAAAACTGGATGCAATATTGTAGTAAAATGCTGAGAATTCCATTCTGTATCACAAGTACTGATTTGGAATAAAGCTTATCTTATCTTTAAGTTCACATTTCAACAGTTTGAGAGAAAAACATAACAACTGGGCATTGAGTGAATGTGATACTCATTATTATTATTATTATCATAAAAGTTCTTTTTGTACTTTCCAATGAATGAAGACATGAAACGATACTGTTGTTGTTGTTGTTGCTAACGTTACTATGTATTCAATGCTGCTGCCAATAGCTTTATCAAAGTAGTACATTTCGGGTTTGACTGTGGATTGATATTAGTTTTAGAAGAGCATTGGAAACCAGGGAGTACTGAACAACTATTTCGTCACCTTAATTTGAGTGAGACCCATCAGTCAGCAGTAGGCATCCACAGCCAGGTTTCGAACCCAGGACCTTCGGGCTTCAAGGCAAGCTAGCGCGTATACCATTCAGCCACTAAGAGCCGATTTAATAGCTACCCCCCCCCCATGAATTCTAACTTCTACCAATTGGTGAAGTTAGAATTCATAGGCCATTAAGAAGTCGTGTCCCAATGGCTGAACTTGCCTTGAAACCGGAAGGCTCTGGGTTTAAAACCTAGCGGTGGGTACGTACTCCCAATGATTCGCAAACTAGGCTAACGAAACACCTGACTGTCTAGTTAGTACTCCCTGGGTTTCAATGGTTCTCTAACTGATGAATAATCCATGGTCAAATTCCAAAAAAATGAACCAACTCTTGTTAAACCAGGATTTACAAAATGTCATCATATATATATATATATATATATATGGCAGACTTAATCATCGTTCAGCAACGCATGCTGTAACTTTTAATTTTTATGTCGTCTAGTTGGCGGCTAATTGCTAATGATAACAAGCGTACATTTGAAGATAACATCTTTTTAAATACACTTACACCTCAAAAAATATGGCTACGTTGATACGTTGATGACACTTTTGTTGTGATCTACACAAGATCTACACAATTCATTCTTGGAGAAACTGAATCAGTGTATCTATCATCTCCTAGAATCCAGATTTTACTTCGGAAACAGGTAGAATCAGATGTCGGTGAACTGTCTTCTCTAGGCTATCTAGTTAAGACGATGGAAAACGGATATTTTAATGCGTCTATATCTAAGAAGAAAACTCACTCCACTAAATATTTAGACTTCAAATCATCACACCTCATCATCGTAAAGGTATCAGTCGAAGGTTAAGAAGTCCTGCAGGAATCTAAGTATAAAAATAAAAGTAAGGTTGGAGGAACGTAAGTTGCTTGAGGTATCGTTATTAGTTTAAATCATTTTTTCGAGAGCGCGGAGAGTTTCAATTAATAGTTTGTTGTTTTATTCCATTTGTTGTGTGATGGCTGAGATACTGCCGGGGCGCCCAGATCGAAAAAGGTGGTTTTATTAAGGCAACACCCCCGAGCCTTTGACCTGAAGTCTAATCCGAAAGACAGCGGAGAAGCCTCAGGAGCTGCATTCCCATGGTTTCCAGTGACCCATATGGGTTCATGCGCCATTTGATCCCATTGGATTCTGAAGCCCATGTACCGCATGGTAATTGGACTTAGTCTAACCGCTATCCAAACAACCTTCCTCACATGGTAGGACCTGCAGGGCAATGCGTCCCAGTCACAGTTTAGCTTGTTGGGTTGGTCACTGCGGTATTCAAGCCCACCGACCACCACGGCAAGGTAGCAGTTGTCGGCCGGTTGAGTAGTCTAAGTGGTATCCTGTCTGTCTGGATTCGACATAGAACTTGGCACCGAAGTGCACCAGTTCGAGTTGCCACCTTCCAAATAGCACACAGAGGTTGACAAGAAGATGAGTGAAGAGAATCAATACAGTCTGACAAGTATAAGAGTGAAACAGAATGGGTAATGGTAGAAAAGAATATGAAAGATTACAGAGACTGAATATATAACTGCGCTAGTCATTGACAACGATTTTGAGCCATTTCACCTATTATCTCCAGCCATTGATTCCTAGAGTCCCAAGGACCCCAACCCGGGAGTCTGCATTTCCCTACCTACCTGACTCAGTTTAACTGTCAAGGATTTCATGGATTGATGAGACCATGTTTTTGTTTGGCCACCACTGGCTCTTTTCCAACCTCCACCTATATCAGCTAGCAATGCCCGTCGGCGGGGGGAGGCGATGGTTAGGCATGCGCACCACGTGACCTAGCCATCTTAGTCTATGTAACTTTATAGCCTCGTTGATTGAATTTCCCCCTTTGCTCAACACTACGCCTAACGTCAGCATTACTTACCTTATTAAACCACCTAACGTGAGACAGAGATCGCAGACATCTATGATCGAAAGCAGTCAACCTTTTCATATCTTCAACGCGTATTGGCCATGTTTCAGAGCCATAGAGAAGGACGGAGCGAACTGCTGAGCAGTACACACGTCCCTTGGTTGATAGCCGGATGTCACGCCTACGCCAGAGATGGTGTAAGTTAGTTAGTGAAAGCAGCTCGAGCTTTTTGGATCCGTGCTGAGATTTCGTCGCCAATCAGTCCGTTGGTGCTGACACAACTTCCCAAATAGGTGAAGTGGTCAACATGTTCTATCACTTCACTCCCTATCACTAAGTTAGGAGTTGACGTGGTCCAGTCCTGTAGCAGCATCTTTGCCTGTTTTCGACATAAAACTTTGCACAAATGTGCACCATTTCAAGTCGCCACACTCCGTGTAGCACGCGAAGCAAGAGAAGAAAGTACAAGAAACGCATAATAGAAACAGTGAGCAGAGGTGTGAAACAAAGGAGTAATAAAGAAAAACAAAACAGCAGCATCTTACATTTTGTAGGGGCGAATCGCATGCCAAACATCCGAAGATTGCTGCTCAAGGTGTTCAGAAGACTCTGCTGGATTTTGTCAGCATCCTCCCCTAACAGGACTATGTCATCTGCGTATTCTAAGTCCATAAGTAGTATCCAACTACTTATATCACATCAAACAATCAGTAGTATACTACATAACACCATTTTTTCACTTAATGTTTATATGGCTTATATATAACAAAGAGAACAAATGAAACGGATAAATATAATTAAGACATCTCAATAATAATAATAATAACAATAACCGGAAGAAAACACTTACTTCTTTTGCCAACAGGAGTCGAAATCGTGTAATTAGACTTTCACCGAATAAATAATAGTTCGATGTGAACAGAAAATACCATGATAATGGTCGAAACCATGGTAGATCGTGTGATCGATAAACTAAATAGCCAATATTAATGATTTCATTGAAACAAGCCAACTGAATTGCTAACACCTAAAAATGTAAACATACATACATACATACAGATATATATAGAAAACAAAACAAACATGAAAGATATTCATTATATAATATTATGTGTAATGGAATGATTTATTTAATTCAGTTTGAACTTCAAGTATTGGTTTGTGGGGATTTGATTGATTGGTTACAGGATTTCATCATGAGCTGACATTGGTTAGAGAACCGGAGAGAACTGAACAACTGTTTCGTCCTAGTTTGGGGCTCTTCATCAGTACGCACCCACCGTCAGGGTTCCAACCTAAGACTATTTGGTTACAAGACGAGCTCGTAGACCATTAAGCCAATGGGAACCGATCCAATGGCCAGTCCAAAAATTCTAACTTCTGCCAATTCACAACATAGCATGACCACCAAGCAATGTCACCGGTGGGATGTTCCCAAACTAGGAAGAAACAGCTGTCTAGTTCTCCCAGGTTTTCCAATGGTTTTCTAACAAATGTCAGATCATGATGAAATCCTGCAATCAAATTGAACTTCCCTGTTGATTGATGAAAACCGAAGTTATTCGGTCTTTGTCGTGACATGTCGGTTCCTTGTGAAGGTACTTCGATGATTTCCGATTATTTAACTTGAAGTAAATTAATGGATGGTGATTAGCAGTGGATGGACAACGTGTGTTTCGTCCTGTTTTGGGTCTTGTCAGCCCGCTGAATGTACCTACATTCCCCGATGAGTCAGTGATGGCATTTGCACTGAAGCTTGAACCCAGTGCCCATAGGTATTACTTGAATAAGGTAATTACTAATACCTGTTGCAGAAGAGGTGGCTCTCCTGGCCTAAATGGTCTAGTGTGTAACGCTTTGGCGATTGAAACCATGGGCACTGGGTTCCAGCATCAATGGAAATGCCATCACTGACTCATTGGGGAATAAAGGTAGATCTAGTTGATGAATCTCAAATGGGAAGTGACGCGCGTTGTCTTGGATTCCACCCACTGCTAGTCACCATCCACCAACTTACCAAATGGAATAAATTATTTGGAAAATCCCTCCTGAACGATCTAATTACAATACTTGATACTTATTTTGATGTTTCCAATAACTTCGTAAATTTACAAGTTGGTCAAGGATTGATATCAGTTAGAGAACCATTGGAAACATTTCAGGGGTACTAGACAGCTGTTTCATTTCAGTCTTTTGAGAATCATCGGCAGCACCCACTAACCCCCAGGTTTCATGCCCAGGACCTTCTGGTTGCAAAGCAAGCTCGCATACCATTCAGCCACTCACTGGGACCCGATTCAATGACCAGCCCATGAATTCTAACTTCTACCAATTCGTGATTTAGCGCAACCACCAGCCAACCAATGTCATCGGTGGGACATCCATCCTCATACGTGACATCAGGATGGACCTCAGTGGTCATGACTCCTATAACTAGAACTCCAGAAAACTCCATCCTGTAGCAAGTCACTAACGAGTATCATATTAATTTACAATATTTGGTTTGTAAGGATTAGTTTTGTTTTGACGATGACATTAGTTAGTTGAGGGTTGCGCTAAATCACGAATTGGTTGAAGTTAGAATTCATGGACTGGCCATTGAATCGAGTTCCAGTGAGTGGCTGAATGGTATACAAAGAAGCTTGCTTTGTAAATGGAAGGTTCTGGGCTCGAACCCCAGTGGGTGGATACTGCCGATGATTCACAAACTAGGAAGGAGAAAGCAGCTGTCCAGTACTCCAAGTGTTGGTTTTCAAAGGTTCGCTAACTGATATCAATCCATGATCCACTCGCAAAAACAAAACTGACCCTCAAAAACCAAACTATAGAAAACTTTGTTTTTTCCCTACATTGCATATCATTGTTCTGATGTCTGCATACACACACACACACACACACACACACACACAAGCAGAAACAGTTTCTCTGAATCTTTTCCTCTCTCTGTCTCTTCTTCACCTTTGTATACTACATCGAGAGAGATTGTGGCAAGTTGAACTGCTGAGCTTCCCTGAAACGTTCCATGCTGAAATTGAGTTAGTCAGGCATCCATATGAGAGAGAGAAAAACTCGAAAAGGTTATAAAATAAGGTAATAAAAAACCAATGACAGTAGTCTAAAAGATATATAATCGAAAGTAAAAGACAGTTCATACTAATAGTTGATTCATATAAGTGGTTTGCAAAGCACTCTCACATCAAACTGTAGTAAACGATATACGGCTGATCTGATTAGAGGTGTGTAATAGCTGGGTCAGACTCACTTACTCAATCACAAATACTAATCATATCTTCGACAGATTCTAGAAGATAGGCATTATTACCAGCGTTCAACAATCGTTATATTTTTAGACCTAAAGACGTCATTCGATTCTGTCGACCGAGAGGTACCCTGACGATGCTTGGCTGTAAAGGGAATGCCGAGAAAATACTTTGCACTGATGAAGGCACTCTACTCGAACTCATGAAGTCAGTCAACCAGGAGAGGGCTTACGGCGAATTGTCATCTAAACTGGTGACGACTAGTGGTGTCGTCAGGGATGCCCATTATCCCCATTTCTATTCAATTTCATCATAGATTTACTAATGGACTTAACCCTAACTCACTTCACAGACACAGGGGTTGACTTGTTACCAGGGTATGAAAAATCTGGTTGACTTAGAATATGCAGACGATATAGTCCTTCTAGGCGAGAAAGCTGGCAAAATGCAGAGTCTTCTGAACACATTGAGCTACAATCTACGAATGTTTGGCATGCGATTCGCTCCCGTCAAATGCAAGATGGTGGTACACTACTGGACTACACTGACTCCTGGTTTAGAAATAGGAAGTGAATTGGTAGAGCACATTGACCGTTTCACTTATTTGGGAAGTACCATCAACCAGTGCCAACGGACTGATCTCTGACAAAATTTCAGCACGGATACAGAGGACTAGTTTCACATATGCCAGTTCACGCGTGATATCCGAACATAGACCAAAGGACGTGTGTACTGTTCATCAGTCCGCTTCGTCCTCCTTTATGGCTGTGAGACCTAACCATTTGAGAGTGGAAGACATGAAAAGGCTGGTTAGTTGTGTTTGATCATAGGTGCCTGCGTTCTATCTCCCGTGTATGTTAGGTGGTATAATAGAGTGAGCAATATTGTGGTTAGGCGTCGAGTGCTAGGTGAGTTGAAGTGAAATTAATCGACGAGGTTGTGAAGTTACATCGATTGAGATGGTTAGGACATGTGTTACGCATGTATGCTTAACCATCGGTTTCCTCGAGTGACGGGAAATGTTAGCTAACTGACATAGAGTGAGGTTGGAAAAGAGTTAGGCAGTGGTGGTCAAACCAGAACATGGCTTCATCAGTCAATGAAATCCACAACCGTTAGTTTAAGCCAGTCAGCCATGTAGGAAGGTGTAGACTTGGTGACTGACTGGTTGCGGTCCTCGTGACGATAGAAACCAATGTCTGTCTGTCTGGATTCAAAATAGAACTTAGCACCGAAGTGCACCAGTTCCAGTTGCCACGTTCCAAATAGCACACAAAAGTAGACAAGAAGATGAGTGAAGAGAATCAATAGAGTTTGACAAGTATAAGAGTGAAACAGAATGGGTAATGGTAGAAAGAAATATGAAAGATTACAGAGACTGAATATATAACTGCGCTAGCCATTGACAACGATTTTCAGCCATGTCATATCTATTGTCTCCAGTCATTGATTCTTATAGTCCCGGGGTCCCAACCCGGAAGTTTGCATCTTCCTACCTACCTGACTCAGTTTAACTGTCAAGGATTTCATGGATTGATGAGACCATGTTTTTGTTTGGCCACCACTTACTCTTTTCCAACCTGTACCTCTGTATCAGCTAGTAGTGCCCGTTGGCGGGGGGAGGCGATGGTTAGGCATGCGCAGGCTGGAAACAATTGGCGATATGGTCTAAAATCATCGTTCTCAATGGCTGGCGCAGATGAATCCACTTCTTGTAACTTATGATTTCCAATAAAACTGCATTGTTCTTCATTATTACTATTCCTTTGTCTCATCTCACACCTCTGTTTACTGTCTCTATTATGCATTTCTTCTACTTTCTTTTCTTGCTTTGTGTGCTAAGTGGAGGGAGTGTGGCGACTTGAACTGGTGCACATTGGTGCAAAGTTCTATATCGAAAACAGACTGACAGAAATAATAATAATATCTTTATTCTGGACAGTATTTATAAATATAAGTATAAAACTTGGGCACTGTGGTAGAGTATAACTCCATTATGGATAAGATTTTATTTTGATAAACTGTCACACAGTGTTGTACAGTTATATTAACTGATGACGTTTCGAGCACAAACTATTGCTCATAATCATATCAAGTTACTCACACAATTTTGATCTCTCATTTATATACATGTGTAGAATCAATTAGATATTGGATTAAAATTAATGTGAGATAATGTACATTCAGAAATAATAGTACGAGTGTTATTGATCAACTATAATCAGATGGGAAATACGACGAGTGTTTGAATAGTCATAATAAGTTTTTATGTTAGAATGTTGTAATGTGTTTGAATTGAAATAGAATTTTAAGATTATTTATTATCCTCCTCTGATTTGACTGACTGACTGACTGGTGGTAATAATATCTTCCATGCATATCTCTGGTATTTGCATTGAGTCATTTCTGTTGCATGTGTTGGGTGTGTACAGAATTTTCACAGGAATTTATTGCATGATATTTCCACACTACCCCCCTCGTACAATATCTTCAAGTAAAATATTAATCGACAACAGTATATCCTGTGATATAATATGCTCTCCTAAGCGGAAGCTTTATCTCGCTTGTTCAAGATATCCACGATATCGGATTGTAGGCCATTTGTAAGATGTTTAGAAGTACATCTTGAGGCAAACTTTAAGCACGACTAACTAACTAACTACCAACCACCAGCGAATGACCTCGATTGCACCAGTCACGAGAAGGAGGCATTTTTGTGTATGGAATACACATATTTATGAAAAAATTATATAAAGACTGCAGAAAA